GTGCTTATGCCTCTGAGCTAAATCCTTAGCCCTTGTTGTTCCTCTATTTTTTGATGTAGATCTTCTTAGATACACATAACATTTCTTTCATAATGTTTGTCATTTTATTTCTTACCTGGGAGAATTTCCTCTATAGTTTCATAGAGTTGTTTCTTTTCTTCATTTGCTATCATTTCGGAAAGTTCAGTTGTGTGATTTCCAGTGTCTTCCATTTCAGTGTCTCTTGGGTGTGTTCTTAGTGGGCTGGAGAGGGGAGACTGCATTTTGCTTTTTCATTGGATTATTTTCCTCTGGGACCCATGTGGCTTGCCAGACATCCTCCTGATGAATTGTCCTGGAAAGCTGCGCTGAGCAGAGCTTCAATCCTTTGATACCTAGGTGGCTAGCTGTGGTGCACCCCCGAACTATGGCACCAAAGATTTGTGCGCTGTGACCTGTGAGGCTGGCCAGGCATTCCCCTGATGGATTGCACTGAGATGCTGGACTGGGCAGAGCAGGGATGCTCTGTGGAGCTAGCAAGAGTGCACTCCTGGAGTGTGGTGCCAGTGCCTTATGGCTGGCTGGGTAGAGTTCAGAACCTCCAGGACCCAGGCAGCTAGGCAAAGTGTGCCCCCACAGTGTGATGTTGCCAGGGCTTTCCTGGCTGTGTTTTATACTGGGGATTGAGCCTGGGCTTTTGCACTGAGCTATATCCCCAGCTCTTTTTATTTTTTTTGTTGATACAAGGTCTTACTAAGTCACTAAGTTGCCAAGACTGGGCTCAAGCTTCTGATCCTCTTACCTCAGTTACCCAGAGTACTGGAATTGCAGACATGAACTACCATTCCTGGTTTTGATACTTTCACTTTTAAAACTCCTGGTCCACAAAAGAAGGAAAGTATTGACAACACAAAGTTAACCAGTTGTGTAAGTCTTCACAAAATAATGATGAATATAATATACTTATTATCTATATAGAGCCTTTACAAAAGTTTATTATACACTGCATCATAAATGTAATTTTAGTAAATTCCCAAGCATTAATAAAAATCATCCCATGTGTATACATATAATTCTCCACATGAATGAATTAAAGAGAGAAAAAGTGCATAATTATTTTAGTAGATGATCTTTTATGACCATAATGGAAATTAAATTATAAGTTAACAATTAAAAGGCATTTCTTAATGTTTGAAACTTTAAAACACCCTCCATAACAGTAAGTTTAAAAGGAAATTTTATAATAGATCTTATAAAGATGATGAATGTACTATATACTAAAACAGGAAGTAAAGAAATAAAACTAAACTTATAGCCTTAAAAACATTTGAATATGATAAGTACATGTAAAAAATTAAGTACTCAGTTGAAGAAAATTATAGAATCACCCTAAGAAAAATGAAGAAAGTAAGAAATGAATGAAGTAGAAGACTAATCAAAGACCAACAATTTAAAATGCTAGTTTTGAAAAGGATTAATTTGAAAACTAATTAAATAACTGGATATCTAGCAAGACTGATGAAAAAAATATAAAATTCAGCCCACAAACCCAACGTGTGGCTCTTCATGCTGTAAACTCTGTTACAATGAGTCTCAAGAGAAAGTGCTGTGAATAACTGTAATAAGTCCATAAATGTGACAGTTGGATAAAATGTGAAATGACAAGGCTTTCTAGACAAAAATATACCAAAATCAACTGAATGTCCAGTACCCTGCACTCATCGAAGACAATGAATTAGTATTGAGAATCTTCTTATCCCCCTCTTTTCCTCATCAGAGCGCACCAACACTTGGAAAGTTTTACCATACCATCACAGAATAGGTTACCCCAGATTATGTAACCTTTGTCAGAAAAGGGAAAAGCCAAGTGATGTGACACACCTGCAGTCCCGAGGCAAAAATATATGTAGGCAACTTAGTGACTTAGCCTTGGTCTCAAAATAAATACGTAAAAAAGGCTAGGATGTCACTTGGCGTAAGACCCTGAATTGAGTCCCCAGTACAACAGCAATAACAAAACAAAACAAAAAAAGGAAGGGAGAAAGAAAACTAAGCAATTCCATTAATGAGACTTACAGCTACACTAGATACGGGCAGCACCAAGAAATTCTGGGTTTTTTTTTTTAAAGAACACTTAAAGTAAATACAAATAAAAATACCCTATAGGAATAGAATTTTGCAGTGTTACTGCAAGATATAAATTTCCATTAAGGGATTTTAAAAGGAGAAGGGAAAAAATTCATGATTGTTTCTATGGCAAAAACAGCTAACAAATGTCATAATTAACCAAAAGAAATAAAAAGCCTTTGAATTGAACTTGGATGAAAATGGATCTAGAATTTCTTTAACCCTATAAAGAGAATATTTCAAAAACCAATGGGCAGTCATATTTAATGAAAAAATTTTAGAAGCCTTCACATTAAAACCAGAAAGAAATAATGTGCTGGCCTTGCTTCTGTAAACACTGTGCTAGAGGATTTAGGCCTGGAATAACTGATAAAAAGAAATTAATTTTTAAAAAAGAGATAAAATTATTTATGGAAATATACCTTTTGCATTGTTTTACAGAAAATTCCTGCAGGAAAAAATGCCTGTGTTGCTCCATCTCTAGGGTACAGTGCAGGCTCACCTGTCAAAAAAGGTCAGCCTAACAAATGTTGGTGGTGCTCAGTGGCACTTAGCTAGCTTCTAGTAACAGTGACAGTGCTCTGTAGCACTGGAAGGACTTCCTTTTCCTTTAGCAATTATGTTCATAGACTGTACATGGTGAAATTAACCACTACCAAGTACTCTGTAGATTTTAATAATTGTCTGTGAGAGAATTATTTTACTCCCAATTATAGAAGTGCTGTTTTAGACAAAAAGAAAGTGATGTAAAGTTGTATGAAACAGGAGTGTTTTTGTGCACTAGATCTCTTAAATTTGTATTCTGATTTAGTGTTTGCTTAACATAAATTTAAATCTTGTTTGCATTTTAGATTGTATTCTAGGGCTTGTATTTTAAAGTGTGAACAGCGCAGCCAAGCTTAATCATAGCTTTAAGCCCAAGATAACAGTGCTGACCCATGGTGTACTTCAGGCTTAGTCATTCTTTACTGGTAACCTGGACAGAGTACAGGGCATGTGCTGTTTTATGTCACCCAACCCTCCCTCTCCCCTCGACAACCCTATTTTACAATTACTTTTCACATTTTATACTTCTATCTTTCCTCTTCTCCTAGGAAGCTGATGGTTTGTTGTTTGTCTGTTTTTTGTTTGGTTGGTTTTTTTCTGAGTGAATTGAAAAATAATTGTGGGAAAGAAAACCACAGAGAGTTTAGGGATGTCTCTAGGTAAATTGTCTTTGCATTATTTTCGCATTGTACAGTATTTTAAATGTTTTGGTTTTGCTTAGTAAGCCTTGACTGGTCAACATTGCTATTGTTAAATCTGTAGTGTTCTGTTTTACCCTGTCTGTTCTAGATCAATTTTATTTTTCTTGCAGCTTTTTTAAACTATAGAAGAGTGATAGTGAACCTTTCAGAGCTTTTAGTAATACAAACAGCTCGTGTTGGCACAAGTCCTGTAGGTTCACCACCACTGCTGTAGAGGCTGGTTCTTAAAGAGAGGTATTTCCTGGCTTGGGTTGCTGTGTTACATAGACCATGATTTCTGCCTTATTTCAGTCTCAGTGTAGGCGCTTGACAGGATGTGACAGGTGGTCATTCTGCTGACCAGCAGCTGATTGGGGAGGGTGGAGGCTGATGATGGATGGATATGTCTGCTGACAAGAAAAGCAGTTCCATGAAGATGAGTTGCAGAGTAAAATTGGGACAGCAGATGCTAGGCCTAGGCTGTGTCTCATTTCTCCCTGCACCGTGAGATTTGCAGTGGCTGTCTTTTCACAGAAGCCAGCTGGGACTGCCATTAACTGCCTGAACCCCTGACTTTTGTAGAAGGCACTTGTTGCTTTCTTTAGAATTTGTTCAGCCTCTCACTTTTATATATGGCTTAATGCTCATTTGGTGGCAAAACATAATACTGCAAAGCAGGATATGTAAGAATTGACCTTTCTCTGGAGAACATGCCTAGTAGGTCCCATTTCCACAGTACAGTCTCTCTGAAAAGTGACTTTTCCTTGTTCTTTCTTTGATCTCTGATATTTTAAATTCCTGTGGTTTCTGCTATTGCCACTTTAGGTCTCATTACTGTCGGGTCTTACCATGTTGTGAAGAAAAGAAACATTCCTCAGAAAAAGACTAAGGCCAAATACAAGGTTATAATGTAACCTTAAGTCAAACAGATCTGCTACTTTTAACTTTCTTTATATCAAATTTAATTTCCTAGATTGAAAATACTTTTTAGAAATATGTTTTGGGTTTAATTCCTGAAACTTACCTATTAATTGACATGGTTCTGCAGTAGATCCAGTTAAATGCATTATAATTTTGTTTGGTTTAAAGATGTTCTTCAGCATTTGAAAGAAAAGAAAGAAATGCAGAAATTATAGGCAGGATCATGTAAGGTGTGGAACCAGAGTTGAAAGCTGGGGATTTAGCTCAGGGGCATAAGCGCCTGCCTGGTGAGCACAGGGTCACAAGTTCAATCCCCGGTACCAAAAAAGGAGAAAGCTGAGAGTGCAGCTTGGAAGTCATACTTATTCTATATCCTTAGGAAATCCTGGTTGTGCAAGAAAAGCAAATGATCATTTCCTTCATCTTTTGATGACGTTGTTTTGTTTTGATACCTTTTCCCCTATTGATCGCAACAGAAATCCCAGGGTTTCACCTATCTCTGAAGCATAGAAATGGAGCAAGCTGCTCTGCAAACAGAGTGGAAAGGGGAGGTGGGTGTGTAGTATTCCCACTGGAAGAGAGACGAGATGCAGGACAGTTAAAAACACTGAACTCTTTCCCCAAAGCTGGTTAGTGATAGGGGGCTGTCCTGGGTCAGGAGTGTACTAGCATCTGGATTCCTTAATGGACTTTGCATTGTCTGAGCCTAACTCCTCTCCTCCCCACATTGCTTTTGTTTTGCTGTAGATACCTGTTTCCCAAGTTTACGCTGTGCTGGACCGAGTTTGTAGACATGAAGGTTCATGTGCCGTGTGAAACCACTGAATACATTGAAGCCAACTATGGGAAGAGCTGGAGGATTCCTATAAAGACATGGGACTGGAAGAGCTCTCCACCCAATGTGCGGCCCAATGGGATCTGGCCTATTTCTGAGTGGGATGAGGTCATCCAGCTCTACTGAAATACAAGGTAGAAATGGGAGACTTTCTCTTACGGAAAAAGAACAAGTAACTGTTTACAGAGCTACACATCTACTCACCACACTTAAGTGAAAACATCACCCAAGAAAAAAGGACCAGTTTGAGACACAGCGTCCTAACTCCTGAGCCATCTGATTTAGCTCTATAATGGCATTTATTACTGACTTTCTGTGTGCCAAATGAAGTGTTAGGTTACAGTGGAGAATCAGAGATGAATGAGCCTATTTTTCCTATTCCTTTGGTAAATACCCCAACTTAACCTTCAGAGAAACTTCCCCACTCTTTGAAGAACTAAAGGAGAATAGGATATATTTTGTAAAGATGTTTTAAATGTTAAGTAATGTTTAGTCTAGAAAATATTAATTTATCAGGCAAAAGCTAAGGAAGGATGTACTGAGTGAGAAGAATAATCCATTCCTATCCTCAGCGTTTGAGCTGATACGTTAGTGCTACAGTTAAGATTGTAAAGTCCGGGTTAATAGTGAGGTGATCAGAATTATGTGGCCTCAAAGAGAGATGCTAGCAGATTCGTCTTATAAGCAATCTGATACGGAATTGATTGGAACATGGGATGTTAGTCTAGAAGGGAAAGTGAGAGCTTTCTTCTAGCTCGTCAAGATAAGTTTCCATACACCTTCTGTTTTCCTATTTGAAGTCAAAAGAAAGCTGATGCTTGTGTGATGCTTGAATTTCCATGCCTTGTGAGAAGAGTTTTTCTGACCTCTGTTGGCACTTTGTTGACAAAGCATTAAGCAAGACCATGGTACCCGACATGCTTTTGAGAGTTGTTGTTTCACAAAACTCACTTTCCTTATTTCATCTCAGCCACTCTGTATAATAAAAATATGAGCTTTTCATGGGCATTTTACATTTTTTTTATAATCCTCGCACTTTCAGTTTTAATGTTAACACTAAAACATTAATAGAAGTACCTCAAATTTTTCAAATAGACTTTTTGTTGTATTTATTCACCAATCCTAGCTCTAGTTATTTAATTTATGACCTGTGTATCAGTTTAAATGGAATAAAAACTTACCTGTTAATTTTCTCCCAAAAGTGCTTAAAGTCTCCGGAATGGGAGGGAAATCGTGAGCTGGCAGTTATTCCCCACCCTAGCTGATCGGGTTGGTGAAGCTTGTGTCTGTCTGTAGTTGCTCAGTCAGTTGCATATTGATGAAGGAAGAACGCGGGCTTCCCTCCATTGAGTACCCACCTGTGGATCCCTGCAGTTTTCCTTTCCTCTTTCGGTCTGTTGCTGAGTCGGCTGGGATGACTGTGTCTTGTTCATGTCTTCACTCATCACTTGTAACTTGTAAGTGAGCGATAAAAGGAACTGCATCCCCACTAATAAGCCCTGTTACTCCTCGTTAGGAAAGGAAGTCAAGTCTTGTATCTTCTCTGTGCTGTTTAGGGTTGCTTTTTGGAGCAGCTTGCCAGATTTTCCTCTAAAACTGAAGAATAACCAGTCTCAAATATGGAAACCACCAGTTTGTACAAGCCCCAGCACTGCCCCAAAACAAGTTTATAAAAGGAAAAGTGGAACATCTGAGGGAATGAGCCGAGTTTCCCAAAGCAAAGTTGGGGAAGATCGCTGTACCAGCCCCTCCAGATTTTAAAACCACCCTGAAAGCTTTCCAGGATGAGTGGTAGCTAGCTAACCGGCTGTCAGAGAGTGTGTTTCTAACGCAAAATACTTGTCTTCTCATAAATAATTTAAGGAGGCTTTCAGGAACCTATAGACTATTATCAGACAAGTCATCATGATCAGTCTTCTCTTTGCTTGAAAATAGCCCCCAGAATGAAAACCAGAATTCGCAGTAGCTGACCTGATTTCATTTGTCACATGCCAGAACAGTGTAACAGATGGCCTCCTCACTTTCCACATGGCTGGGACAAAATACTGGATGCCCGGAACTTAAAGAAGGAGAGGGTTATTCCGACTCACAGTTGAGGAGTTTTTGTCCATGTTAGCTGACGTAGATACAGGAACAGTGTGGCAGCAGGGGAGTTTCACTGTGGAAAGCTGATCCTGTAATCTGAGATCTTTATGTGATAGATCTTCATGACTAACAGAAACCTTAGGATTCATTTTCTCCTGTGTCATATCTGTCTCCTTTGTTCACAGAAGCACTTTGCCAGACTCCTATCCTGTAACATTCTGGCGCTCTCTTCTCAGCAAAGTTGCCATTATGTCCCTCTGAAACCTGATTCAATTTATTCATTACAGTCTTCAATCCCATTTCTAGTATTCTCAGAGAAATTTCAAGTTGTTTCCCTTCAACTTCTGGATAATACTGTACTTTTTTCTTAACTGTCCTTTACTTTTTCATAAAACTAGTCAACAATTTTTTCTCTTCTCTTCTTGTGTTAAGGAAGGTCTTACACTGCCAAGTTCTCTTTCTTGTATTTTCTCATGTTCTAACTGACTTTACTTCTTTTGTTTCTGTTAGCTCCTTCTCTAGTCCCCTCAACTTTCCAATTTTCCAATTTTTCCTGAGTCGATGTCTGTACATCCTCTATTCCTACTGCTTTATTCAGAACAGAAATCTTTCATTTCAATGGCAGGCTTCAAGTGATGATATTTCTCAGGTGATTCTTATGGGCTATGTGTTTGCCTGATTTCCTGTATCCTCTGGTTTAACCGTCTTAAAAGTTTTTTGACCCACTCATGCAAGAAGGTATATAAACCACATCTTCTACTTATCTATATCTTGCATGTTTTCCTCTTTCATCAGCAGCCCCAGATAAATGCTAATAGACTTTTTTGGTTTAGATGATGGTGATGAAAAGTAAGATTGAGAAAAATCCTAGACCTTGTCTGATGCCAAGGAAGGGTTTCAAAGACATCTGTGTACCATCAGAAACACTGTTGCCAATCTGTTGTCAAGGTTCTGTTTTGTTGTTCCCCAATGCCTCAGGTTTAGGAGTAAGTGCTCAAGAAATGTGGCACTTCCTAGTTTCATGTTTCTCTTCTAATTATTTCTCAAATGGGATGACAGAAATTATAGGTCAGTATACACTGGTTTACTCAGGAAAATTGCATGACCAAATTTACTTAAGAAAAAAATATATCAGGTCAAAGTATATAATAAAGTCGGAGACATTACAGTGTTGCCTTCTTCTTTAAACAAAACTTCTGTTTTCATTTTGGTAGTAAAACTGTTGTCTCCTGGTATTATCTCATGCGCTATTTTCGTTCCTTTGTCCCAAGCAGCTCACTCTTCCTCCTTTGACTTGGCTCCGGCTCTTATCTAAAATTGCATCTCATTATTTTAGCTTTTTCTTACAGGTAAATCTTCGCTATAAATCCTGATTTGAAATACTTAGTTTTCTTTAATTGACTGTGCTGGCTTGGGGACGTAGCTAAGTGGTAAAGTACTTGCCTAGTGTGTACATGGTGTGGGTTTAATCCTTAGCCCCACAAAAATGCAGTGTCTCCACTGATATATACCTGTATCATAAAGGGACAGTTAAAAACACATGTCTATTTTCTGCCCCTAGATTTGTGGTTCTTTCTCAAAATAGGCAGGAATCAGTAGGCTGTATGATGTCACTCTAAGTTGTTCCATATCAAACTTAATTCTAACTATAGTTTATAAGCCAGATAGAGCAATTCAGTAGTGATACCTTTCAAACCAGTGCTTAAAATAGTCAAGAGGAAGTCTTCTAATGAAAAATCTGTTGCTGAACTCTGTGAACTTCCCAACCTATGCAAATATCCATTTGCCAGCCAAAATCGCTTCTATAGACTTATGAGTACCTCTAACAGAAGAGTTGGGAGCATAACAAGAATTGAAAGTACTGTATTTTGGTTTTTAAGGTTTACAAGACTTTATAGCCTTGTGATTATCCAGAGCATGGAGAATAGTTTGTGTGTTTGTTGTATGAAAATCATATGTAGATTTTTGTGTGACTATTCCACTTCATAGCTATATAAAAATGTACGAGAATTTTATAAAGAAAGGATATTTTAAATGTGAGTACATTTCAGTGTATGCTTATCAGTTTACTATTTGATTTTACAGATAATGTATAGTACTACTGAAAATACCTTTAATAATAATATGTTGATCAGAATTTGTAATATATAATTCATTTTGGGATAATGAATAAAATTTTTTTAATATCTTGAACTGTTTTGTGTTTATTTCTGAAACCTAAGTAGAAATAATAGCCATTTACATTCAGAAGCCACCTGGTAAAACAGTAGTCCTACTACCAGTTCTGTATTTCCAGAGATACTAGAGGTTTGCACACATATACTTGAGAACCCAGACGTGCTCTGAAAAAGCATCTAGCAGAGACCTCCAGGAGGATGGCTGTAGTCACCCAAAGACAGGTTCATTAGCTCACTGTAGCAAAAGAAAATATCTGCTATGAGAAACCATAACATTTCTGGAAGAAATACATAAAAAATATCTTCTTAGTGTGTTGGAGTTATGTCAGAATTGTGAAGAAGAATAATAGCCACTGAGTGAGAATATCACAAGTCATGGAATAAAAAGCCTTAGTTTAACAGTGTCTAAAATAGAAAAGAATGACATACCATAGCCAGTGATATTTGTTCCAGATATATACACCTAATTCCACCTAAAAATCAGTGCAGTAAACCATATCAAAAAACTAAAGAAGAAAAGCATATGATTGCATAAATAAATTTTAAAAACTCAAAAATAGAAGGGAAGTACAACTTCTAATGAGGAACACTTACAATTAAATGATTAAACTAAATTAACTTGATAGCATGTAATAGTGAAAAGCTGAATGTTTTCTACTTCAAGCGAACAAGGCAAGAATGTCTGCTCTCACTAGTTCTCTTTGTCTCAACACTATACGTTTTAGCCACTGTAGTAGAGAGAGAAAACGAAATAAAAGGCCTGACATGCACAAAGCCCTGGGTTCAATTCCTACTACAAAAAAAAAAAGGAAAATTAAATTGGCAAGAAAGAAACATAGCCATCATTATCTGTGGATGACATGACTGTCTACATAAGGTAAATCAAAAAACCTAAAACTCCTGGAGCTAATGAGTATTGTAAAGTCACAGTATACAAAATCAAAATTACATTCCCAGATCAATTGCATTTGTATATTGCATTTATATATTCTAGCAGCAAACACGAAGACTGCGATTACAAACAATGTTTACCATTACTTTAAAGAAAATAAAAGAAAGGCACACAAAAGAAAGGCATGCACAAGGCCCTGAGTTCAATTCCTAGTACCCCCCCAAAAAAGGTATAAAGCTAACAAGATATTTAGACTCTATATGCTAAAAATGATGGAAATAAAAGCCCTAAATAGAAATGTATACCATGTTAATGTGTTGTAAAAAACATGATAATGATAACAAATTTATAAAAATTGGTCTATATTGTTACTGAAATTTCATCAAAGTTTTTCTAAAATTCTGATGAAATTTGTAAAATTATTTACTTAATGTTTAGTGCCTCACAATGTTACTGCATTTGGAGGTAGGGCCTTTTAAACAGCTAATTAGAGGTAAAATGAGGTTAAATGTGCAAGGACCCTGCTGCCTATGGTCCTTATAAGAAGAGAGTAGAATATGGAGATTCCTCAGAAAACTAAAACTAAAAATTCCACTGGACCCAGCTAGCCCGCTTCCAGGTATGGCCTGAAAGAGTTAAAGACATATTACAGTAATGCAGATACGGCCATACCTACAGCACAATTCCTAACAGCTAAATCTTAGAAACAGCCCTCATGTCTGCAACAGATAAATGTATAAGAAAATGCATTTATACACAGCACAGTACTACTTTACCATAAAAAGGTAAGTCATTTGTAGGAAAATGCACCTTGAAACCATAATTTAAATATAATAAATCAGACATACAAGCTTAAATATGAGAAACCCAACATGAGAGATAATATGAGAAACTCAAGCAATAAAGAATTTCTTATAAAATAAGTAGGGATATCTTTTTCAAGTGAAAAGGGGATCAAGAGATGGAGGAAAAGGAAATGAAAAAAGATTTATATATGTGTATCAACTTCCCATAAGAACTGTGATCATTATTACTGAAAATACATAGTAATAAAAATTGAAAAAGGAGTAGAACAGGAACTACAGAGGGATGATCACAGGCAGACAGAAAGTAGATGGTCATCTATAAGCAGAGAATCCACGCAATTAGGTGCAATCACAGCAGACCCTGCAGAAATCCAGAAAATCATCTATACCTACTTTGGGAACTTGTATTCTAATAAGATGGAAAATGCAGAAGCAATGGACAGATTTCTAGATAATATTACCAAAGTTGAATCAAGATATACAAATCCTAAATAAATATCAATTGATGAGATCAAAGATATAATTAAAGATCTATCAACAAAGAAATATCCAATCCCTGATGGATTCACTGCAGTATTCTACAAGAAATTTACAGAAGACCCAATGTCACTATTTCTCAAATTCTTAAATGAAACTGAAAAGGAAGCAGTGTTCCCAGATTCATCCCTGGAACCAAGCATTATCCTGATACCAAAACCAGAGAAGGACCCAACTAAGAACTGAAGGCCAATCCCCTAATGAACACAGATGCAAAATTCCTCAATAAGATGCAAACAGACTGCAGCAAAGAAGATTATACAACTATGACCAAGTTGTATTCATCCCAGGGTTGTAGGGATGGTTCAACATATGCAGATCAGTAAATTTAATACACCATATTAACAGCGCCAAGGACAAAAACCATATGATCATCTCAGTAGATGCAGAAAAAGCATTTAACAAAGTCCAGCACCCATTCATAAGAAAAGAAAAACTACAGAAAATTGGAATCAATGGTGTCAATCTGATAAAAGCCATCTATGACTAATCAACAACTAACATCATACTAAATGGACAAAAAACTGAAAACTCACTCAAAAATCAGAAACAAGGATGGCTACTGTCTCCACTCTTATTCAACAGAGTTCTGGAAACTTTAGCAAGAGCAATTAGACAAGAGAGAGACATAAAAAGATTACCACTAGGAAAGAAAGCAGTTAAATTATTATTTGCAGATGACATGATACTCTACATAGAAGACCCCAAAAATTCCACTAAAAAAACTTTAAAAGCAAATTCAGTAGTGTAGGTGGGTTACACAACACTTAACAATCAGTAGCTTTCCTGTACATGAATAACAAACTCACTGAGAGAGAAATTAAGGAAACAACACCTTTTGCAGTAGCACTCAAGCAAACTAAAACTGAATACCTAGGAATCAATCTAGTGCAGGATGACCTCTATATTGAAAACTACAGTATTCTGAAAAAGGAAATAGAAGAGGATATCAGAAAATGGAAATATATCCCTTGCTCTTGGTTAGGAAGAATGAATGTAATGAAAACGGCCATTCTTCCAAAACTGCTATACAGATTTAATGCAATTCCAATGAAAATTCCAATAGTATATCTCATGAAATTAGAGAAAAGAATCTTAAAGTTTATTTGAAACCAAAAGAGACCTAGAATAGCAAAGCCAGTTCTGAGCAACAAAGGCAGGACAAGGGGCATCACAATCCCTCACTTGAAATTATATTATAAAGCTACTGTGATAAAAACAGCATGGTACTGGCAAAAACAATGGACCTGATGATCAGAAGAACAGATTAAAAGATGCAGAAACAACTCCAAACATACTTAGCCACCTTATCTTTGACAAAGATTCCAAACACATTCACTGGAAGAAAGCCTCTTCAATAAATGGTGCTGGAAAAACTGGCTTTATACATGATGAAGATTAAAACTGGGCCCATATCTTTCACCATACACTAAATTAAGTTTGAAATGGATCAACGATCTAAATATTGAAATGGAAACGCTAAATCTGCTGGAAGATAGAGCAGGTAAAACTCTTGAGACATTAGTGTAGGCAAAGACTTTTAATAAACAAAGGAGAAAAGCTCTGAGAACAAACCAACTCTGTACACCTTGATCTTGGACTTTTTTTTTTTAATCGGTACCAGGGATCGAACTCACAACCACATGCTTTCAAGGCAGGTTTTATGCCTGCTGAGCTAAATCCCCAGCCCCTTTCTAGGTCCCAGAACTGTGAGAAAGTTAATTATTTAAATCACCCATTGGGAATTGGGCGTGGATGATGCACACTTGTAATCCCAGAATTTGGAAAGCTGAAGCAAGAGGATCATGAATTAGAGAACAGCGTGGGCTATTGCTTGCTGCATAGCAAGCTTGAGACCAGCCAAGACTGCATGGTGAGAACTATCTCAAAGAAACACCAGTGCAGTTTGTGGTATTTTGCTTTGTTGAGACAATCCTCTCAATTTAATACACTAAGACTATGGTATTGATAAAGAATAAACACTGACTAATGAAGGGGAGGAGCCCAGAAGTTAAGCAAACAGTTGGGCTTTTTGTTTTTGGTGTTGATGTATTAGTGCTTCCGAGAGTTTGCAGGGCTGGAGTGGGCTCCACGAAAGACTGCACATACTCTGAATCAAATTTAAATGCAGGACACAGAAATTTACAAAATTGGCCTACAGGAGCCACCTAGAGAGTCAGACACAAAAGAGTACAAAAGATCTCTCTGTGCTTGAGATCCAAAAGGTCCAGCTAAAGGCCTGGAATTTCCCCCACAGCAGTGTCTCATGAGTCCACATCGGAAGGCCAAAGGATCCCAGATAAATAACCGAGGGGGTCTGTACTGGGAGGCTGAAGGGTTGGAAGCTAAGGAGTCTGCACCAGCAGACCAACAGGCCGATGCTGAAAGCTAGATTCTGCATCTCAAACCAGGAGACAATGCCCAGGGGAAAGGCAAAGACCAGCGCACCTCAGAGGAGAACAGCTGAAGCTCCTCAGGATAGTCAATCACAAGGAAGCGCTTCCAGGGGAAATCAGCTGAAATTCTTTCCTCCTGCTCTCCTTTTTACCAGTTCCAAAACAATCCTCCTTAAAGTGAGTCCACACCCAAAACCACACTGACTCAATTCGGCTAGACATTCCCCACTCAGCTTGACAGTCAGCTAACCACCCCTGTTTGTGACAGGGTCTCCCTGTACAGGCTGGCCTTGAATTCCTGCCTCAGCCTCCCCAGGGCTCTCTTACCTCACCACCCTCACCTAACCTAAGCACTGAATGGTTAGGGGCATAAATAATAGCTGAA